TATTGGTAACACTTGAATTTATATTAGTCTACTTTACGTTCATCTCTACATAGAGATGCTGTTAATAATATTTTGTTTGTGCACGAATAGTCTTCGCCTGATCGTCTGCATGTAAAGTCTGTCACATTCCTTTTTCTCTGAGTTTACGTCTATCCATTTTACTTAAGGATAGGAATGGGGAGTATTTGGTAACATTGAACTTTTATTAGTCTATTCACATTCTCCCTCATAAGATGCTTTAATATATTTTGTTTGTAAGAATTAGTCTTCGCTCTGTCTCTGCATTCAAAGTCTGTCATATTCCTTTTACTCAGAGTTGACGTCTATCCGTTTTACTTTAGGATAGGAGTGCGGAGTTATTGATAACATTGAACTTTTATTAGCCTATCTAGACTCTCTCTCTCATAAGATGCTTTAATATATTTTGCTTGCAAGAATTAGTCTTCGCTCTGTCTCTGCATTCAAAATCTGTCACATTCCTTTTTATCAGAGTTTACGTCTATTCATTTTACTTTAGGATACGAATGGGGAGTATTTGGTGACGTTAAACTTTTATTAGCCTATCTATACTCTCTCTCATAAGAGAGAGTATATTTTGTTTGCAAGAATTAGTCTTCGCTCTGTCTCTGCATTTAAAGTCTGTCATATTCCTTTTTTTTCTGAGTTTACGTCTATCCATTTTACTTTAGGATAGGAGTGCGGAGTAATTGGTAACGTAGAACTTTTATTAGCCTATCTAGACTCTCTCTCTCTTATAAGATGCTTTAATATATTTTGTTTGCAAGAATTAGTCTTCGCTCTGTCTCTGCACTCAAAGTCTGCCACATTCCTTTTTATCAGAGTTTACGTCTATCCATTTTACTTTAGGATAGGAGTGCGGAGTTATTGATAACATTGAACTTTTATTAGCCTATCTAGACTCTCTCTCTCATAAGATGCTTTAATATATTTTGCTTGCAAGAATTAGTCTTCGCTCTGTCTCTGCATTCAGAATCTGTCACATTCCTTTTTATCAGAGTTTACGCCTATCCATTTAACTTTAGGATAGGAGTGCGGAGTTATTGGTAACATTGAGCCTATCTAGACTCTCTCTCTCATAGATGCTTTAATATATTTTGTTTGTACGAATTAGTCTTCGCTCTGTCTCTGCTTTCAAAGTCTGTCATATT